AACTAAAACATCAGTGTGTTATCAACATTATTCTCATCTTAAATCCAAAACACAGCACTATGCCAGCTACTAGGAAGAAAATTAACTCTATCCCAGCTGAAACCAGGACAGTCTGACACCAGCAGCCCCTCAAACATCGGCTCTGCTCTAACATGTGCCTTCCCTCCCAATCCCAGCCCTGCCACTTGCCCCCAGGCTGCCCCACACCAAAGGAGTGCCTTCCCTGCCAGTGCCAGTGATGCTCCCCTGGTGTGCTGGGGAAAATGAGACCAAGGTGATCTCAGCCCAGTGTGCACAAGCTGGGCTAGGGCACTGGAAGGCAGGATTGCTCCACTGCCTTTCCCAAGCACAGCTTTCCTGCAGGCTCCTGCCTGGACTTTGGGCAGGACAGAGTCCCTCTGTGACAGGTTACAAGCAGAGGACACAGGAGGGCTGCAACAGATCCCCAGCCACGGATCCCTCTAAAAGTCTGCTGGAAATGCAAAAGTGGACAAGAAACTGGATCCTGTCCCTTCCACAAGAAAAGCACCCTGAGAGGTTCCCTCTTACCATCCAGGATACATCCCAGTGCCAGGAGACTGAGGCAGAGAAGATGCAGCCACTTCATTTTGCTGCTGAGTCTGGCAGAGGATGGGCTGGAGGCAATGGTGCTCCAGGCAGGAGAGGTGAGCTCTGCACAGCTTCCCTGCACTCTGCCACTGGTGCTCCCTGCTGCCTATTTATCCTTCCAGTCTGTGGCTTTCACTTTCTTTTGGAGAAGAGGGGTGGGAAGTTGCAACAAGTCTTGCCACAGGCTGGATTTCAGTCTTTGAGCAGTTCCCAAATATCCTGACTGCTTTCCCTGCAGCCAGCTGCTCTGTGTCCCCAGAGCCAAACACCCTCCTGCCCTCTCCGCTGCCGGCACCTGGGGGCCAGGGGCTGCTGGTCAGGGCCAGAGCAGCCCCGGGGTCCCCTCACCCTGCGAAAGCACCCCAGGGCCCTGGGCAAGCACATGGGGGGGTCTCACCCCTTACATTTCCCAGTCCCTCCTCCGAGACATCTCTGGGATGTTACCATTAGATATTGCATAGGCTCAACCCACTGATGCTGGGGGGAGAACTTGCCTCAACTCCATTTTCTGGGTATATATCGGTACTGGGGTGATGCCTGGCTCCCCCTGAGCCCCCCCATCTGGTCACAGGAGCCTGGCTGGCTCCCCCTGCCCTCCCCATTGCCTCCATGTGGGGCACATCCAAAGCTGGTGGATGCCAGCTCCTCCCCGGGGGCTGGGCTGACACTGCAGAGCCCCCTGCAAAGAGGGGACTCCAAGAGCAGAGCCCTGACCCACTGGCAAGGGGTGCTGGGGGTGCTGCCTGACAGCAAACCCTTGCCTCCTTGCATGTTCGGTGGGTTTAGCAGCTACCAGAGCACGCCCGAGGTCTCGTGAGGGGTGCTGGGGGATGCGGGGGGTCCCCTCCTGTAGGGTAAACCCCTTAACCACCTCCAGCTGCAGGAGACCCCCTGCCCTCGAGCTGCCCGGAGTCCCTGCCGACACATGAGCAGGAAAGAGAGGCTCTGCCTCCTCCTGGCAGCTGTCTGGGTGCCAAGTAGGTAAAAGCACGGCTGCTCCAGTTGCCTCTGCTCCCCAGGAGGGGCACCGGAGGGTGAGGAAAGGGGCTTTCAGCTCGTGTTGTGAAAGGGGGATGTGATGGGTTTCCCCCCCCCCCCTCCACTGGGGTCAGTGGGATTTCTAAGAAGAGAGTGGTCATCTCCAAAGTGCATCCCTGCAGCATGCAGGGAGGTTGCCCCATCCTCCTCGCAGGGCTGAGCCACGAGCCTCGGGGACCAGAAGAGACAATGCAGATGGGGAATAGGGGATGTTTCAGGGTCCAGGCTCTTCGGAGGCATACACAGGCAGGGAACGGGCAGGGGATCCAGTGAGATTTGGGAAGAGGGGAGAGCACTGTGTGTGCTGACCCATTTAAGTCTCATCCAGAGCAATTTGGGAGCACTGGAGCTCCAGCTCTGAGGACACCACAGGTAGCGTGAAGCATCCCTGAGCACTCACCCCTGCAGAAGCCTTGATAATGCAGTTGTTAATTAAAGTGGAAATCATATGGGATGGGGAAGGGGGATCCCCATGGGAAATCCAACCCATCAAAATGTAAATGGACTGTGTGAGCATCACCTCCATTCCCAGGCTCTCCTTGGGGAGCACCAGCCATGCTGCCACCCTCCCAGAGACCTGCCAGCTGCGGGAGCTCCCGCGGTGGCTGCTCCCTGCTGGGCTCACAGGCTCTGGCACGCTCCCCGGGGTACCTTGTGGTGCTCTGCTTTCCACCTCCGAGCCATGGAGCTGAGAAGGGCAAAGGGGGAATTCCAGCAAATTCCAGGCACAGCCAGTCCCTGGGGCAGGATCTGGCCTGGCTGCGTTCACCTCATTGTGAAATACTGGGCCGGCATCACAGCTGTTTCAATTTCCCTTGCATCTCCCAGAACAGGAGAGCCTCCCGCACGGCTCCCATTGCAGCCCCATCCCCAGTGTGGCACAGGGACTGGGGCCACGGCCAGCCCATGGGTCTCAGGGCCCTGCTGGATCTCCTCTAGCTGAGGGAACCCAGTCCATCTGATTTAAATGTAGTTAAAGAAAAAAAAAGCAAGCCATGCCTTTGCCCAGAGGGAGCAAAGATGGTCCTGAGGGTCTGGCTAAGAGGGATGCAGAAGGTGCCAATTCCTGCTCTGTTAGAGCCCATCTGTCCCTAACACTCATTGCCTTCAGCATCATTGATGTTGAGGTCACTAGGGACAAAGGGCAGCAGAGCCAAGACCCTTCAGCTGGGTCCCGCTCGACCCCCCCCAGGTGAGCACTCATCTCCCAGGGTCCCTGCAATGCATGTGTCCTTCTGCATTGTCATTGTGCTGCGCAGTTTCACAGCCAGGTGCTTCCTGTAAATGTCTTCAGATGTGTTGTGATGGCACCAAGATGGCAGCAGCCAGGTGGGATGCCCCCAGCCCTGGCTTCCTGCCGTCATGCCACCTGGCCTCCTCTCTGCAGCCTCTCTGGGGGGGTTTCAGAAGGGGGTGGTTGGGGAACAGCTCTGAGACCTGTGCAAAAAGCAGCCCATCAGCCATTTCCTTGTCATTTCCCATGTGTCTTGGCAGGAAGGATGCCGAGTGAGGCTGCACCCCAAACTCACCTGTGGACAGATCTAAAAGCACATAGGATGAACCAAAAGCCCTGGGGGCTGCTGTCTTTCACTGTTCTGTTGGCTCTTAGGTTGATGCTGGGCAGAGGAGGCTGTGGGGTTCATGGCCTGGTGCAGCTCTGGGACACGGCTCATGTCAGCCCTGCTGCAGGACATCCTTGGAGGTGGGCAGATGCTTTTCCACTGCCCTTTGCAGAGCTGCAGCCCAGGAGCAGATCTGCAGTCCCCAGCAGGATGGGAGGGAAGCAGAGGGACCTGGGGGTCTGAGCAGATAGAAGAAAGACCGGCAGCACGAGGACTCACCAAAGCTGAGGAGCTCCAGCCACCAAAATGGAGGATGGGGGAAGAAGGGCATTTGGGAGCTACATGGAGGTGAAGAAAGGGTTGAGAGGAGGCTCTGGGCTGGAGACCTCTAGGACAGGGTGGGTGCCAAGGGATTGCTGGAACTGGGGAAGACCCTGAGGCAGGAAGGGTGGGAGTCCCTATCGCCCACCAGCCATTTCTCCACTTCCTCTCCGCTCTCAAGATGGTGGCAGACCCCAGGCAGGGCCACCTTGGTGGAGAGAGCACCAAAAAGCACCTTCAGCTTCAGTTGGAGACCATAGCCCCTCTAGCACCCATGCGGCCCTGGAAACAGCACTTGGAACCTGCTGGGGCTGCTGCGGTGTAGCCAGCTCCTTCTTCTCGGGAATGGCATGGGGCAGAGGGACTGACCCCATGCGCATGTCTCCAGGTGAACCTCACTGGAGCTCAGCCCAGCACTTCAGCTCAGCACACTCTGCTGCCAGTGCAAGCCCAGAGCACCATCTGCACCAGCTAATGACTTGAGCTATTCATTTGGCCCAGGTTCAAGACTTCCCTTTTCTTGGCTGTACTCTGTGGTTTCTGTCTTGCCTGGCTACTTTCTGCTGTCACCGAAGCCTTCCTGCTCCAGGGTGGCTGAGTTCTCCTAACTTTTTGCTCTGTTTGACACAGTTGTAATTTTCTTGCCTTCCCTGCAAAATGTCTTAGGGTGCTTATACTGCCCTTGCATACCCACTGCCCTGGCACACACTGCATCGACTCTGCCCTGTCTTTGCACGTGGGGCAAAGCAGCGGGTTTGCCATGCCCAGGGGTACAACTGTGTGAATCCTCCTCTGCTGCTTTACTGTGGCATTGTCTTAGATCATCTTCTTTATATCACTTGTCTCAGCTGGGGTCTGTGGATTCAACTCCTCCATGGAGCAGGGGTTTTGGCCCCCACTGCGGTGCTCCAGATCCCAGCCTATTGCCTCTCCCTTCAGCATCTTGCAGGGAATCTCCTCGGTGGTGTTTCCCCGGTGCCATCTCACCCCGCCGTGCCCACACCACGCACAATGGCAACACTGTGGCCACCTGCCTCACCAGCAAGAGGTTCCTACTAATCCTGACACCTTTTCCTTAAAAGCAGCATTCTGCAGTAAAGCTGAAAGCAGTGTGCGAATGCCCATGCATGCGGCACACATGGGGCTGCATCTGTGCATCTGTGTCTGTGCTCATGCGTGCCTTCCTGCACAAGTGTCTGTGCCCGAGTGTAGGACAAACTCCAGCGCTCTTCCACAAGCCCTGCTTCCCTGCTTTTAGGGTAAATTTTAGGGTAAATTAGAGCACCTCTATGTGCATGTTTTTTAACCTGTCTTAGCCTAAGGCCCACCTAGCATTTGAAGGGGAAAAAACCACCCGTGTGGTGTTTACATTTGCAGCCACGGAGAAACATTTCACATGCCAGCTCGCTCCTGACATCTGCTCGCGCTTTGCTGTTTGTAGTTGCAGACGTATTTGGTTGGGCCTCATTTCTAGGGGGTTTTTGCAATCATTTCACAATCTCCTGACACCATGACCAGCACAACAGAGTCCCGCAGAAAGTAGGGCCAGCCTCACAGCGTCTTGACACGGCATGTCCCCAGCAAACCCAGGGCTGCCTCTGGTGGCGGGCTGCCTCCCACAGCAGCCCTGTCTGACTCCCAGTGCAGGGGTGTCAGTTCCCAGGCCAGAGCACAGCCTCGTTAATAACTTGGTTTAATGCTGTTTTCCCAAAGCAGCTGGGAGCACAGAGCCCAGCTGCTGCTTTGAGCAAGTGGTGCTTGTCTGGGGAGGGCCACAGTTGGAGGGACAGGCTCAGCCATGGGCAAAGGACGCCGTGTACAAAAACGTTTTATGTCCCCGTGTTTGCTGGCATTTCAGGAACCCTCGGTGGGGATGGCTGAGCAAACAGGATGGCTTCACATCACTGGGCAACACAGCAATACAGGAGCTGCAAGAGAGGGGACTCGCATGGTCCCCCTCTCCTGTGCCAGCAGCTCCCAGCCCCTGCACCCCCGGAACGCAGTGTCCAGGGGGGCTGCAAGAGCCAAGACCTGGGGGACAGTGTATGGGCAGGAGAACAGCCCCTCCACTAAGGATGGAGACCCCCCCATGCTGTCCTTCCTGCCCCACCAAAGCCCATAACAACAGCCAGAATGAATTTGGTTGTAAAGGATATATTTCATTGCTTCGCATCCTGTCCAAACGCTGGTCTGGCAGATGGCCGCGTGCTCCCATGTGGAGGAGAGGGCAACACAGAGCCAGCTCAGCGCCCGTCCCATACTCTAAGCACCACATCTACCCATCTTTTAAATACCTCCAGGGATGGGGACTCAACCACTTCCCTGGGCAGCCTGTTCCAGTGCCCAACTACCCTTTCAGTGAAGAAGTTTTTCCTAATATCCAATCTAAACCTCCCCTGGCGTAACTAACTTGAGCCCATTTCCTCTTGTCCTATCACTTGTTACTTGGGAGAAAAGACCGACCTCCACCTCACTACAGCCTCTTTTCAGGTAGTTGTAGAGAGCAATAAGGTCTCCCCTCAGCCTCCTCTTCTCCAGGCTAAACAACCCCAGCTCCCTCAGCCGCTCCTCATA